TAGCTTTGTATGTTTACTAATGCCACCTATCAGCAAACAGCAAATTTAAGCTTATACACCTGGTGTGTGTATATATATATATATATATATATACGTGGGTCGTTTGATAAGTTTGGTAAATTTCCATGAAATGGCGCTACAATCCATTTGATGACGCGACATCTCGAAAGATCCACTCTTCGAACCCCTTCAGGCTAAATTTCAGCCAGAAAGATATAGTTCACGTTTGATAGTCATTTGAAGTAGGCTGTCTCAAAGTCTGCAAAATACTCATTTGGCGACAATGACTTCCTCATTTGACGAGAATTTCTTCCCACCGAGCCACGTTTTTAAGTTTGGGAACAGAAAGAAGTCACACGGGGCCAAATCCGGAGAATAGGGTGGATGAGGAATCAATTCATAGTCCAATTCGTAGTTTTGTCCATTGCAATGGTCAACTTGTGGGACGGGGCGTTGTCTTGATGGAAGAGCACTTTTTTGCGCGCCAATCTCGTTTCAAATGACTATCAAACGTGAACTATGCGTCCTTTCTGAAATTTGGCCTGAAGGGGTTCAAAGAGTGGATCTTTCGAGATGTTTCTTTTAGGTCAAATTTCAGCCAGAATTAACGCATTATTCACGATAATCATTTAAAACGAATAAAAAATTTAGTAGTTGTCGTGTACAAAAATGAATGAAATCGAACGGTATTCGGTACTCAAAAAACAAATATCGTTTTTTTTCAAAGGGGTGTTTCACTCCTTAATCCAAGAGGCGCGTCTCGAAACTAACGTTACAGGCGCGTTCTGGTGATTTTGACCGAAATATATTTTCGTACATATATGTAATATAAGTAGAATACATACATGATTATAATTACTATAAGTAATAATTAATAAGAAAACATTCTGCTAATGATTTATATTAATCAATTAAAAACAAAGAAACGTAATAATTACTGAAAATAATTATATTTATACGATATATCTTTATTTTAATTTTATCTTTTTTTTTGTTAAAATTATTGATTTGTTGAAATTATATGTAACGAAATAATAAGAAAATTATAATAATTTTATTTTTATTTATAAAAATATAATAATGGCGGAGACAACAAACACTAACGTAAATTTTACTTAAAACATCTTTTCATATATTCTTATTGTTTCGACGATAATTACTTACACATGAGTACGGATATCGTATATATGAAAATGTTTATAATTAATTCTTGAAAATGGTATGTTGTAATATAATCTTGTTGTATATAATTAAATTTAAAATTAAAAAAGAATTATTTTTAATTTGATATATTTTTAATTTGATAAAATAAAAGTGCGCACGCTATGATCTTTTAGACCGTTACAAACATATCACATTTTATGTATATAAAAACGTGTTTATGTTATCTATTTTTACATACTATACGAAAAAAACATTAAGAAACATTTTATGTAAAGATAAAAATATAATATAGCGTTAATAAATTCAAAGATATGATAAATAGAAAACAAAAGAGCAAAATGAATGGTAAACGATTACTTGCGGATTAAATATGCGTTAGCGCAAATATAATAAAATACTTAAGCAAGTATAATAAAATAATGTCTCTTAGATTTTTGTGTTTAACAATATATTTCACGGGGAATCAAACCGGTGTCGAACAGTTATAATATCTTTTGTAAGTTATTTGTGAAAGATTACATTTTTTTCTCTCTTATTTCGTTAACCTATCGTAGAATTTTGCACTCGTCAATTTCAACTTTATTACTTCAACTTTATTATATAAAAAAATTAAACATTTCTATAATAACTCTACTATATTTACTAAAGATTTACTAAAGAATCACTTTATTAATTCCTTAAATTAATAATTAATTTTCAATAATATATCTTGTTCTATTCCCATGCTATTTTTAGATTTGTGATTATCAATAAAAATAATTGATAATTAAAATCAAAAACAATCTAAAGAAAATCTAAAAACAAATAACAGAAAAGACTTCTCGTTACTATGTATCAATTATTGGTTAAAAAATTCGCCAATAGCAATAATTTACATATATATGTATATAATGTTTATAAATTTTTAATTGTATTATATGCATATAAGAATGTATCTGTAAAAGTTGATATTATTGTAACATCTCATTTTTATGCACTTTACATGTTACGTAAAAAAGAATGTAGTCATCAAATTTTTGATTTCATGTTCCTTCCACATTTGGTTTGATTTGTTTATTGACATTGTTTATAAACGGATTACATAATTATTATAAATCCAATCGAACAAAAAGTAAAAATTTTCATTGTTAAATCTTATCTTAACTTACTGTTAAAGACAATATAAGATAAATATACATGCACATGCAAACATAAACAGTAAATAAAAATTTTTTATATAATTAGAAATATAAACTGAAATTAACAAGAAAATAATATATGTAAACAATAAGTTTGGTTATGTATATTAATTACTTCAAATAATAGAAATTCAAAATCATTTTTATGATAATAATAATTTATAAAAAATTATTTATGTAAATTTGGCGATTTTTTTATTATATAGCAAATAATTAAAACTCGTAAATTTTGAAATAAGAAATATGTAAAATAAATTTGATGAGATAAATTAATTGTTAAACATTGAATTTCTCTTTTATATTAAGAAAATGTATGTTATTATACATAGTACAATTGAAGTACCATATTATAATAATGCAATGTATTATTTATTCGAAATTTTTAATAATTTTTCGTACTAAATGATCCATAGCAAATTGCGTTTTAGATTCTTCTTTTCTTATTTGATATATTCATAAATACATATTGTAAATAAAGTATAATAAAGTTATTTTATAGAAAAGTAAAATATAA